CTACGCAGAGCAGTTCCAGTGTCAGAAGTCCAGAAACTGGAGTTAATCGTGGGTAGCTAGATCCCAGTATTTGTCCAGACAATAAAATGACAGCTCTTGCAGCATCTATATTACTTTCGGATGATAAAAAGGGTATGGGCCTCGAGGATATACTGTAACAAACAGCTGACATGACTTAGAGTGCCTCAGGTCACTTTCCTTTCGAGAACAAGAGTACAGGTACAGCGATGTTTATTCCACAAAGGACACCTATGGTTGGCTTCTCGAGAATCCGCAATACCAAGCTTGGATGAATAGTGCGCGGGGTCTTTTCTGGATCAAAGGGAACCCTGGAATCGGCAAGTCAGTTCTCATGAAATTTGCAGTCACAACGATGGATCGCAGAGGGTCCGGAGAACTCGTTGTGTCCTTCTTCATCCACGGTCGGGGAAACTTTTTGCAGAAGACTCCCTTGGGTGTATTCCGGGCATTGCTTAACTCCATGCTCAAGTCCTTCCCACAACACCTCTCTCAACTCACTGAACGCTTCAAAGACCGGCAGGCGCGATTTGGGGCTTATGAAGAGAACCGGTGGAATTGGACCGAAAGGGAACTTCAAGATTTCATGTCCGAGATTTTGAGCAAGGGAACAAAAAAGCAACCTGTGGTAATTTTTGTCGATGCCCTTGATGAGTCCGGGGAAGACGATGCGAAGAGCTTGCTGGCGTACTTCAAAACCCTCATGGACGATATCGAAGGCGAAAAGGCACAGGTGAAAATATGCTTCTCTTCGAGACATTATCCTATCCTTGGATACAAAACCAAGTCAACAATCCATGTGGAAGAGAAAAATGACAAAGACGTTAGACTGGTCGTTCGACAACGACTCAAAGAAATTCAACCAGTCGCAAAGCGGCAACGGCTCGAGAATGAGATCTTAATGAAGGCTCACGGGGGCTTCCAATGGACAATACTGATTGTTTCCGTGATACACCATGGAAGTGCTATTGGCACCAGCATTGAGAGTCTGCACAAGAAACTCACAACGATCCCGGAAGCTCTTGATGGGTTGTACGCTGGTATCTTAAGCGTTGTCGACCCTATCAAGCACCACAAAATGACAAGACTACTTCAATGGGTCTTATTTGCCGCGCGACCATTGTCTTCACATGAGCTCCGAGAAGCTCTTGCTGTCGATTATAATGACAAGGATTGCACAACTATTTCGCAACTCAGACGCCACGACAACTGGACAGATACTGCGACTGAATTCGAGAGAATCGTCACACACACTTCTAAAGGCCTCGTTGAATTCAGAACTCGGGAGATTTGGGAGCAATACGAGCCTGATGGAGAGGACTGGGACCGCGAAGCTCAGTTCGTCCACCAGTCAGTTGCGGATTACGTGCTCGGAAAGTTTATCAAGCCCACCCGGCGCGATTCTGCTTGTCAATCTCCTATTGGAGCGGGTCACTTTGAGATATCGAGGTCTTGTCTGAGCTACCTGACTTTGAGAGAAGTCTTAGAAGGCACTCAGCTATCTTCGGGAAAACTCTCAGCAAGATTTCCACTGATACCATACACTGCACATTTCTTGTTCCACCATATTCGGGAAGTTGAACGCGCAGGAATCCCTCAGGATGATCTTCTTGCGCGTATTCACTGGGGTCGGCAATCTGAAGTCTTGAATAAAATCGCGAGCTTATGGAGAGTCATGGATCCTGACAATGTTCACGCACCTAGGGGATGGCCATTTGTCGGAGCATCATCCCTTCATATTTTGGTGGGGTTCGGCTCTGAAAGTTGTTTGAACGCATTTCTTGTCAAAGATGATGCAGAGCTAGAAGTTAGGGATTCGGATGGGAACACACCATTACTCCTCGCTCTCCGGGAGCGTCGCGAAGATATGGCCCTACTACTGCTGGATCGGTCCATTGAATGACAGCTCCAAAACGAGGCAGTTGACATCGAGGGATCTCAAGACAACAACCAAGGAAAGCCAAGAAATTATCTTTCCCACCTAAATATCAAAAATGGTGATGGAGAAACGCCCTTAAACGTTGCCGTGACGGTGAAGGCCGGGGAGGTAATCTTCAAGTTGATTGAAGCGGGTGCCAACCTCGAACTCTTCGGGCTTCAAAACGAGCTCTTGGCATACGCTATCCATCACAGGGACAAAGAAGTGCTTTCAATATTGTTGGAAAAGCGGGTGGATCTCAGCGGGGCTATATTTTATGCAGTCAAGAGCCTGTCCGAGAATGGTGATCTCAACGGTATGGAAATTTTGTCGAAACTGCTTGAGGCTGGTGGCAACACACGCAAATCCACGCATTTTGACCGGGCATTCGATGACGAAGAAGAAGAAGATGGATATGCATATGAATACGAGAGTGAAGCAATGATTGTAGCGTCGCGAAGAGGCCATGCGGCAATCGTTAGCCTTCTTGTGTCGCATGGCGCTTCAGCGGATATGGAAGACGAAGGTGGTGATTTCCCATTGCTAATCGCTGCACGTCTTGGCCACGAGGAAACTGTGGAGGTTTTGCTTCACAACGCACCGCAAATGGTTGAGATGACGGATATACACGGACAGTCAGCCCTAGACGCAGTCGTTGATATGGGTCATTTCGAAGTGGCAATGCGGCTTCTGCAACAAGGAAGCCAGGTTCTAGCATCATGGGAGACATTTTTGGAGGGCTGCCGAGGGGGACGAAATAGAATTAGCGGAAGCAATTCCACGCGCGAGATTAGAGAACGCAGACCCAGGCAATGGGGGCGATTCAATACGTCAAACACCGTTCTCATGGGCTGCCCAGGAGGGGCATAAAGCGGTAGTCCACCTACTTCTTCTTAGAGGTGAGGCTGGGGTCGATAGTAGAGACCAATATGGCCAATCGCCATTGTTATGGGCTGTTTGGAAAGGGCATCAGGCGGTAATCGAATTGCTTCTCGATACGGGTAACGTCGACGTCGATATAAGAGACCAATATGGAAATACGCCACTCTTACGGGCTATTCAGCGTGGACATGTGGCGGCGGTTTACTCACTTGTGGTGATGGGTCATGCCGACGTCAATATAGCAGATGATCATGGTCGAACGCCACTTTTACGGGCTACTTAGCATGGAAAAAAGAAGGTGATCAAGTTGTTTCTGAGCACGGGCAGGGCCGACGTCGATAAGAAAGATCATTGTGGCCAAACACCACTTCTCTGGGCTTCTCAGCATGGGCTTGAGACGGTGTTCAAGCTACTTGTGGACACGGGTAAGGCCGGCGTCGATGGGAAAGATCAATGTGGTCGAACACCACTCTTATTGGCCGCTCAGCATGGGAACGGAGCGGTGGTTAAGTTTCTTCTCGATACAGGCAAGGTCGATGTCGATGCAAAAGATCAACACGATCGAACACCACTCTCATGGGCCGCTGAGGAGGGGCGTGAGGTCGTAGTCAAGCTACTTATGGGCACAGGCAAGGTCGTCGTCGACAGACAAGATCAATGTGGTCAAACGCCACTCTCAAGGGCTGCACAGCAGGGACATGAGGCGATTGTGAGGCTTCTCAAGTACTCATAGAAACTTGCACACTTTGCATGCTGCAGTCTCTGAACCAAGTTTCTTCCCCTTCGCCTCCGCTGAAAGATGAGATAGTCAACGTTTCTATGGCGGCTATAGTGAGTGCGGCACCCAGTCATTTTCCCGAACCATCGGGAAACCCCTTTCAGAAGCTGCATCTTAGCATCCTTTCCGTACTTCAACCTGCTACCTCTGGCTAATTTTCTCGCGGCGATCTACGTACAATGAATAGAGATGCCGGTTTCAGCATGACTGTCGAACGTAAAGAAATGGCAGGTGCCCAGAAGTTAGACGATGATCCGCTTCGAAGGTCGTACGTGTCCAACAAGGTCTTCCAGGGGTTTACATCCTAATGATTAGAATAGAGGATCTCGGAGATCTCTCTCCACTTGTACTCTTCTGTCTCGATCCCTTTTCTATGCCTTGCTTTTGAGAAGCTTCTCCTGGGAAGCATCAAGCAACGCTTCCTGCCCGATGTGCATGATATTGAGCTCCATGATACCAAAATCAGTGCGGACCTGGAGTCAATGATCAATAGCGCTTACGGACGAATACGGCTACATATCCTTCTATGACCAAGCTTGCAACATTGTGAAAAGGCGTCGCTAGGGAGCCAGCGTGGACTTCCTCAGCAAACTCTTCGAAGGCCGAATCCCACACTCAGCCACAACTCATGGAACAAGTCTTCCTGAAATCCAGTTTCATCTATAGACGTCCAATATGAAGTACTGGTGACTTGACAAAGACTTCTGGACTCGACATATACAGTGCTTACTTCTTGAGGGTTGCTTTGGGGGAAGGCTGATGTGTACTAGACAGCGTCAGCTTCAACATCTTTACCGTCATAACCGAGGAAGCAAAGGCGACTGTGAAAGCAACACCATCAAGAGTGTTTCAGTTAATTGACGGAAAGCAACCTTGTTGCTTGGGCTGTTTCTATGGTGTGCTTCATCGAGGCTCAGCGGTAGCGTTCCCCACCACGACCGCCCGCAAGTGGACCACGATAGCTTCACAAAAACATCAAAAACATACAACACCAGGTATTCGCTGGTCGTCACCGACCCAACTACTAATCCGGCCCTCATTGGCTTGTCTATGGGAGAGCGGACGGGATCCCGAATTTTCCAATGGGTATGGTCGTATGTGAAGGTATCTTGAGATCCTAGAGGCTGTGAAGGGCGACAGATCACACTGCAAGGCGTAGGAGCTATCTCAACGTGTACTTTTCTCCGATTTCTTTCAATTATAGTGTGTCATATAAAAGCTTAATTTAAATCACTTCAACCAAGCACAGAAATTATCTACCGAGCACCGTCGTGAGGGGGGCTGGCCCAGGCGTGATGATGACTTGTCGAGGTCCTTGCCCTGACTTGTATCGAAGTGCTATCGTAGCCCAGCTTCCCATCGATTTTGCTGATGTTTGGGATTTGGATCTCTGCCCATCACTCTCTAGCCTTGATCATTCTGTTGGTGTCTGCCTCTATCATTGTTGTTGATGTTGACGGCCTCTTCGCGCTTCTCGTCTGCCACGGCCGCTTCTACTGACGCCAGTGTCAGAGAGTTCGATGCCATGTGCTTTCCAACACCATTATAGACGCTGCTTGCTTCATGTAGGATATTGTTTGGGCATATAGCGGCCATGTCCAGATATTCGTTGGATGGATAGCTGCATAATTGGTTGAGGCCTCCCTCAATACAGTTCGAATCAGCCTCTTGCCACTGTGTCAATGAAGGAATCTGATCATCCCATAACGCCTGAGTGAAGTCGTGTTCATCGATTGAACCGAAAGTAGCGAAACATGAAGAAACGCCCGTGGTGTCATCAATTCCGTCTATACCGGTCTCTAGTACCAGTGACGCAACAGATGCGTCTTGGTGAATCGACGAAGCGAAGTCCTCAACGCACCTCGCGTCAGACAGGTTTTTCATAGTCGATGAGGATGTGGCTTTTTGAGATGCAGTACATGCGCCTCCTGGATGCTGCGGGCCGTGGCTTTCGTTCGTTCTGGCGATCTTCTTTTGAGCAAATGCCTCGAAGAGCCCTAGCACTGCACGCCTTTTGGCGCTGTCGAGGGAGACTTCAGCGATTTCCTCTAGTTTTGAGAAGAACTGCTCGCCCATGCCAGAGTCATTGTCTTGGGTGAACAGCTCCTGAAGATCACTGTGTCCTACAATGCTGTCATCGTACTGGATCCTGTAGACTGTAGTAAGGGTCAGTAACTCTGATCAACCCTGGAAATGTCAGCAAATGAACCTGGACCGACGTACAAGGGTCTGGAATGACAGTGCAATCCGGGAACAGTATGCGGTAGATATTCCTCCAATTCTCTTCCTCTGATATATTGCCTCGTGCCCGCTTCCGACTTTTCAATTTCTTCAACTGGTCTTTGTTAAAACCTTCGATAGAGACATTCTTGACGAGTTTGCAGGGTTCCTCTAGCTGAGCATGCTCTGCCGAATCAGCTTGATTCTCGAAGACTCTGCCGCAACGTAGGCAGTTGGGCTTTTGTTCATGGTGTCTGTATAGATGCTCTCTAAAGGTAGGATTATCGATCATTAGTCTTGGCGAGCTTCCAGTTGCAGAGAGAAACTTACTTCAGTCTGTGAGTGGAGGGGAAGTAGCGAGTGCACGACAGAGTTTCTCCGTAAACCGCCGGATTGAACTTGAGGTATGGACAAGCTAACTTGATTCCCTTGGAATGCGATGCTGTTGGTGGTCTGGTCGGGTCGGGGTGCGACGACCCAGAGAAGCGAGTATCTCTGGATGCCTTCGGCGTCTGGGAAATATCATCCTTCGTGCGTATCTGTCCCTTGCCAATCTCATCGAATGATTCACGTGGCTTGATATTGGCGTTGCTATTTGTTGAAAGTCCGGACGATTTCGCGAGCTGAACCGAATCGTCCTGTGTAGAGCCCGTATTTCTCTCGGGCCCTCGGGGTTCAATTTGCGTTTCTCCTGCGTCTTCATAGCGGCTGAGTATACCAATAACTTTATAAGGAATGGCAGAACTCTTGTCGTCTTTCTTCGCTTCCTGTAGGTGAGATGTAGCCGTACTTTTGGGCCTGCTGTAAGGAACAGGCACGAACTTGGTTTCATCGTCGTTCGGAGAGAAGCCAGACTTGTCCGTGCTTAATGTATAATTCCTAGGCTGTTCCGGGTTCGCCGCGAATGTCTTGGACCTTTTCGATTCGCCGAGTGTCATCTGTCCAAGCTATTCTGGAAGCGTGGCTGCATTGCAGACCTCGAGGTCATGTTGCTGATGGCTGTGCTTGCTCGTTATAGAGACCGAAGCTTCTGATTCAAGTTTGACTGAAGCATCGCATTCTCCTCCTGGTCCTCCTGATGCCCCCCATCCTCTCCATCCCTCATCTTCATCATCTTCATCATCTTCATCATCTTCATCATCTTCATCATCTTCATCATCTTCATCATCTTCATCATCTTCATCATCTTCATCATCTTCATCATCTTCATCATCTTCATCATCTTCATCATCTTCAT